GTCTCCCTTTTGTCGTGTTTTCCTCCCTTTGTCTAAAGCAGTTATTTCTTTCGCCTTCATGTGTAATAATTGTCGCGAGAAGATTGTGGGGAAGCCACTTCCCAGCAAGTTGTTGGAGAAATAATACCATTCACAAGAGGTTGCATCAGACTGAGTGACCGCGTCGTTGTTTGATTCGACGAGATTCAGGTGGTTAGCGCGCTACTCCGCGCGGGAGGAGATCCGAGCGCACGACTGGGTTGCAGTTGCGGTGAAACCCCACATACCCCGCAGATGCTGGAGGAAGAAACCTTAAGAGCCGGTGAAGGAACGCGCGCGAAGATCAGCTTAAGCGCGATGCAATACCTATGCACTCAAACCTCGAGGGTACTCCCTGAGTTCGGGAGTTGGGTGATGCAACGAGTGGCGGCGATGAGAGAGGACGGTGTACTCGAAGTTCAAGACCAATGCAGACGCCGCCAGCCCGCACCGTGCAGCCTTTGTAGAGTCGACAATACGCAACCGTTTTCAAAGCCAATCAAGTGGTTTCGCTGCGGTCACCTGCTCTGCGAGCCTTGCATGTGGCACCACCTTTGCCGCCCCGAAGTGAGGGAGCGTCCGAGTTGCCCGAGCTGTGGAGAACTTCTGGACGAAGAAGACACCGAAGGGGATATCGAATCTGAGATCCTGAAAGGTACGCAAGAAGCACTGCCTGTTTACACTTGTTTACCACTTTCTCAATCGCAGGAAAGAACCTAAGTTAAGTACTGTTAACTAAGTTAACTAAATTAAGTACTGCTGCCACGTATGTGCCTGAAACACGCCCGGTACCAGCTTCGTTGGAGAACAGATAGAGCGAGATTTTGCACAAGTAGAACCCAGAATTTCAGCTGTATTCAATTCAGAACTGGACGAGCAATCCAGCAGGCTTTGACAGACCTTCAGACTCGGACCTTACCCGTGCATTGAAGTCACAGAACGGACTTGCAAACTCACTCTCGTTGCGATAGGCTTCTTTAGTCTCCGTCATCACGGTGAAGCTGACTCTGCGCAACCTCACTCTGAGTAAACCTCTTACAGGCGCCGCCGCTGCAGTCGAGCGCAAGCTGTCGTCCCTCGCACGGTGGCAAGAGCTTCCAGAAGAGCTTCCAGCGAAGCCTCCTAAGCGGCCGCCGTTCACAGCGCTACCCATGAGTAGGCTGAAGGGTCTATACCTTGGGTGCTCGCAAGGGGCCCGCTGCGAAGAGCTCCACAAGGCGGCGGCGAAGGGTGACGTTGCGCGACTCATCGCTGTCATTGCCGGGGGCGTGCACATAGATGCAACAAATGAGTACGGCCAGACCGCTGTCTTTCTTGCTGCACTCCACTGTCAAGAGAAGGCTCTCCGCGTGCTGACTCATTATGCGATGGCTGACGTGAATATTACAGCAAATGGTGGAAGCTCGCCGCTCTACACCGCAACGGTGCATGAGCATCATGGCGTGGTGCGCTTACTCTTGGAGGCGGGAGCGGAAGAGCTCGAAGAAACTTGCGCTGCGCCCCTCCACAAGGCCCTACCTCCGGGGGCACGGCTAGCAGAAGCGAGTGCTCCAGATGAGTCTGCACTCGAGTCCAGATCGGTGTGCTACTTGATTGAGGCCGATCGCTCTCACCCGGGTGCTGGGAGCTACTACGTCGATGGTGGCTTCGAGCCGGACTTTCTGCTGCAGCTGAGGGATCTTTTTCACTCACTGCCAGTGGCTCCACCCAATAAGGCCTCGTGCTCAGATAGGAGCTACTTCTGTGACACAGAAGGCTGGGTGCGACGCGGGATCGCTCGGGCGTTGCGGGGCTGTGGAGCAGACGAAGGAGAAGCAGAAGCCTTCCCACACATGCGATTTCTGCACTACGGCAGCCCTGGGGGCACCCTTGTTCCTCACGTGGATCTCACAAGGACAGACCTAAATGGACGAACATCGAGATTCACATTCCTGTTGTATCTGGAGGATTGTGCTGAGGGTGGTGAGACAGTGCTACTGGAGAAGATCCCTCGCGGCTCCACAAAGGCAGCACCTGATGGTGTAGAGGCAGATGTATTGTTGGGGCCTGGAGCAACCAACAGGAAGCCCTCATCCAATCAGGATGATCTAAACCCTAAAATACTAGCCTCGGTTGCCCCACAGCGGGGCAGAATTCTTATATTTCCACATATGTGTCCTCATGAGGGTAAGGCGGTGATAACAGTTCCTAAAGTCCTGATTCGTGGCGAGTTATACTGATATTCGTCAGGAAAGGTAATGAGAATGTCGGCTAGCGCAAGTGAATCGATTATTCATGGGAAGGCGAACTCTTGTGATTTGTTTCAAATGCAAAGTGTCCTTCTTTCAACTACAACTGCGCATGATAATATAATCACGAACATGTCACATGTAATTGTGAAGAAAATGGTGAAAATGGGTATTTCATGCCATGTTTTATGGGGGAAATTAAGATTCCGTTGTACCAAGAGGCATGGATAGGCTGGGTGTTCTTGGAACATGTAACAGATATGTGACTTGGCATCCTTGGGACATGTTGGGAACCCATGTGTCATGCTGCATATTTGTGAAGGAGTGCCGAGCTATGAAGTGAGAGAATTTGACATTCAAAGCAATGATGGTTGAGCAAGTGCAAGTGCATGTTTGCCAGGGGCCGCGATAGACTGGCAATTACCTCCATGAGGGGGGGTCCGATTTAGATTATCGATATGTTTGGTAGGGGAACAATGAGACAGAATCTGACATCGAGGCGAGGATGAAGAATGCAAAATCAGTAAATGTAATCCCTCTGGCTGAATCGTGAACAATAGTAGAATTAGGAACGATTATGACAGAATCGACGGTGTCGGTGCGATACCATGACAGATGTGACATTTATGGCGGCGCAGGTAACGAAAAACCAGAGATGGCCACCAACAAGAAAGGAATAGGTGCCGGGAAAATCTCGCCTCATGGAGACACGATATTCGGGAAAGGGAGGAAAGGGAACAGGAAGGTGAGACGGAACACTACATCAAGTGAACGGAGGAAATGAGGGAGTGGGAAAGATGGAAACAACAACCGAAAAAAGAGGCCACAAAGGAAGCCAGAAAATGCATAAAGGAACATGCGGCAAACAGGAAGCAAAAGTCGAGAATGAAAATGCGGAGCAACTACTGGAAAGCCATACAAAAACTACCACAAGAAGATATACCAAAAGAAAATAGAAAATGGAAGTGCCCCGGCGGCCACAATTCTAAAGTGTGCGACTGTGCGTAACATGTGATGACTTGAACGCACACGTATAGTTAAATCAGTAAGAGTATGATGTATTATACGCAATTACGCATTGTAAGGATACCTCACATACACAAACTGTATATGTAAACATGCTCCGTACGCATGACGGCATGAGATGACCCGAATCCCCTTCAGCACGCAGGATGTTTTCCGGGGCCCGCTGTCTAATGGGCGCCCCATGTTACATTTAAAATGCTCAGGCCATATCCTTGGCTCCGGCGCATGGTAGGTTATCAATTTGTAGTACAAAATACCAATCAATTCTTGTCGCGACAGTCGTGAATTATTAGTTATATACTAAATGGCCACAGTCGCACACGTGATAGGTACGTCAGCGTCATGCACTATTCGAATAGCATATGCCATTATATTATTGTCATTGTCGCGACAGCTGTCAATTGCTACATAAACTAGTCGTGAATAATATGTCTTACAATGTCTGCGCACCTGATAAATTCAACACCCCAACCTAAAGCAATATTGCCACTTGCCCGATTCGTAACTGTAGCCAGCGGGGTATTTACCTGTAAAGCAGTAGGACGCGTATACATTGCGTTGTATATATATATATATATATTTAAATTACACTCTGCCTTATTACAAAGCTCATGGCAGGTACCAATCGGAATTATCTATATGTATATAGCCACAACCGTGCCAAAAAACAGCTGGAACATCGACAATACTGGGATGTTTTCGCAGTTACAACGTTCAAACCGGTTTTATAGATTACATGAATAGGGTGCGACTGCCTTTTGTTCAAATGTAGTCTGTATTAAACTTCGTAACGTGTACCGTGCATCATGGTACAAACGGCAACGTGGCAAATTTTTCGTCACGCGGAGTTTCTTTTTGTCGCCAGGGGTTTTTTGTCGCCATTGGGGAAATTGTCGCCACAACAAAAAGTCCCGCAGTGGGATAATTTGTCGCCATGAAACAACATGTCACTATTAGGGACATTTTGTCGCCACGAAAAGGGAAAATTTGTCGCGAAATAAACCCAATGTACGGGGAAATCCAAAGTACGCGAAAATAATAAACCCAAAGCACGCGAAATAAACCCAAAGTACGTGAAATAAATACGAGAAATAATTACGCGAATCGTGAAATAAAATTAACCCGGTAAAGTACGCGAAATAAACCCAAAGTACGGGAAACCCCAACGTACGCGAAATAAACCAAAAGTACGCGAAATGCATACATAAAATCACGACCCAAAGTACGCGAAAACCCCCCAACGTACGGGAAAAGAAACGTCGCGACCTTTCGTTTGAAGTGGTAATTGAAGGACCGGCAACGTGGCAATGCTGATGCTATTGGCGATGGCGATGGCGGATGCAGAATTTCCTGAGACAAATTGACAGAACAAAAACTGAAATGGTATTTCTAAGGGTTCGGATCACGTTTTTCCGGAAAATTCTGCACCCAACCCCAAAATTCTGCATGGCGACAAAAATACCCCATTATGGCGACAAAAAAGGAGAGGGTATCGGTACAAACCCAACGACCTCCCATGCCTCGTATATACTCAAAACACGGAGTGTTTCGTAGTTACAACCTGATAAACGACTTTTCTCCAAAATCTGAAACCGCGGTGTGCATTATAAGTATTGCTGTGCGGTCCGGCGACCTTCAAAACTTACAGATTACATAGCCCAACATACACGACGAGCCATAATATGCGAAGCAACGGATGCCGCTGAGTGCGCTTTAGAGCATCAATTTGCTCCTGTAGCTCAGTGGAACAGAGCGATCGCACTAGTGAGCGATAAGTCACAGGTTTGAGTCCTGTCGGGAGCATTTCTCCCGGCATTTGAAAGGATCGACCTAAATTGTACAGTGGATTCGTCGCTACCATTTATGAAATATCTATCGACTGCCGTGAATCGTCAATGCAGCCTTGTATGCCCCGATCGCGCCGGGAGAAGCGTCGTGTAGTAAGTCGTGGCCCGTTTCTACTATCGGATGCCTCTGTGTTTGGTACACGCGGTAGGTGCGATGTGGTAAGCCAGGTTTGTTGTTTAACAATAAGCGAAGCAACAAAAAAATACGTGTTTTCGGCCCGTTTAGGTTAAAAGCAACTTCGAACACCATTCCTTCTTTTTCACCTACTGCGAGGTCTGGCGACCTTATGAACTTGCAAAAATTATCATTATATTCCATTATGCATTTTTCGCGTAGGCGTGCGACGTTCTAGCATATAAATCATATTTCTTTGAATTATTTCACATAACATCGAGGCATTAGAATAAACAACGCCACCGATGGGCATTGCGCGCGTGTGTGGGCATGGGCAACATCATGTCAATTGTCAACGCCTCGTAGCATTTGGTAGTATATACCGGGTTGATGATCTATAATTATGCATTGCATCCGGAAGATGTGAGGTCCTGTGTGAAGTCGGTAATTATATATACATTAACCTGACAGGACAGAGGGCTTAACGGCAGTGCGTACGGAACGTTTGCAGTCGATTTAAGGCTCGCATTCTACATTCTACCCAGCAATGAAAAAAAGGGCCTTGGGAATACCAAAACACCCTTGGTAATGCCGGCAATCTACCTCCTTGGTAAATGTAATGAAAGTTGTTAGGGTCTGAAATCGGTGCGGGGATTTTCACTGTACGAGCCGGGTCAAATCATATAATATCGTCGTGGGGCGAAAATGCTCCACGACGGGATTTGAACCCGTGTCGTTCGCTTGTCTAGTGCGACGCTCTAACCAACTGAGCTACGCGAAGCTGTTGATGACATCTTCGCGCATTTCAGTGGTAGTCGTACAGCTCAGACGATTACAGATCGAAGATGAATCGTGACATCGGCGATGACGTACCAACATCGCGACTGCGGGCGTCTGTCATCCTTCGATTCGTAACATATCTCCCCTCTGAGAAACAATCGTCACCTGACGATTCGATGCCATTGCATTCGTCTCGATTAACATTTCAGGGTCCCAACTTCGGATGTGATGACGTGGCAGCTTACGATGAAGCTGCATAGCAAACAGAATATTGGGAATAAATGAATCTCGATCGTCGTCTAAAAACCTTCATTTTGACACAATTTTCGTCGTCTAAAAGTTATTGCCACGTCATCTGAAATGTGCCACGTAAGCGACACGTAAGCGACACGTAAGTCGTCCCGCAATTTTTATTACAAAATATTACTCGAATTATTTATTTGTGGCTACTGCCCCGCAGTCCTTGTGGTAGGACCAAATCGACGATTTGGTCCTACCACGAGGACCATTGTTCCGATAATTTAATTGGTCATCTCCCGTGATGTGTGGTGTCTAACCAATGAAAGGTGGTATATATAGGTCCTATATTAATTTATTTGAACGCTGGTTTTGCCTATATCCATCCCATATATCCATGACGAACGCATTTCAAACCTCTACACTCAAATCTTTCAAAACGGATTTTTTGGAACATTCAAAATGTGGCAAATTAGTGACTCATCTTCAATATTTTTTACCAATCATATATCAACACTACACCTGCGCGGATACCATCAAATTGAACCTATACATATGTCCCAATCATATTTGGGCGGTAGGCCCGGTTGGAATGCATACATTGGCTCGTTGGCTCGTTGGCTTCCCCTCTAATATATTGGCTCGTTGGTTTCCCCCCTAAAACAGTGGTCACGCGAGTTGACCAGCCAGCCATCATAATTGCTTGCTAGAGGGCATATATCGCAAGGTTGGCGTGTGCGGCACATTAAATCTTCAAGTATATATGTATTGCGAATTTCTGAAAGTCTAACATCATCCAAATATCTTATTTTTCGACTGGCGTGTACATTTTAGAATGGATGAATGCCAATTTCTAAAGTCCGAATTTCACTAAATTCAGAATTTGCATTGTGTTGAACATGCGCCATGCTGAAATAGAGCGGAAATGATGATGAGGGTGCGAAGTAACCGATTCAGTTATCTTATTTGGTTATAAACTCAAGATGTACAACCATGAGCATCACCGCGAGCCCCCCATGTGACTTCTAATACTCAAAATAACGGCGGTCCTTGTGGTAGGACCACCATTTTCTTCAAGCTTTTGGTGGAATTACACCCCTAAATCGTGTCGTTCAACCACACACCTAAAGTCTCATGGGGGCCGCCGCTATAAGAAATAAAATCCATTTAACTCATAAATATCATGTGCAAATGTTGCGCCTGTGCCTCAAATAGTCGATTTAGTGATCGAAACCGCAATTGCCCATTGGTCCTTGTGGTAGGACCATGAATTTGGGTAGTAGCCATTTGTGCATGATGCTTTCGTACTCGGCGAGTCCCGGTAGATTTTTTTGTTGCATTTTTGTTCATATGCGTGCATATCATGTACAAGTATGCAAATATGGGTACATCCATGTGCAATTTAGGCCAGCATGCACGGTACACGTTTATGAATGCGCGTATTCAGGTGCTTCAATTCCCGTAAAATAAGTTGCAACTGAGATGGGTACTAGCATATGATACACAAATCTATATCATCATACAAATTTATTCAAAGGGATAAGTCTACATCAGGGGCCGACATTTCATTTAAATCCACATCGGGGGCCGACATCTCATTTTAATCCACATCGGGGGTCGACACCATTTTAATTCACATCGGGGCGACACCTTCATTTTAGTCCACATCGCCATTTAATCCACATCGGGGGTAGACACGTCATTTTAATCTACATCGGGGGCTGACATATCATTTTAATCTACATCGGGGGGCGACATCTCATTTTAATCCACATCGGGTGTAGACATCTCAGTTTAATCCACATCGGGGGTATGCATTACATTCAATGTAAGGATATAATGTAAACGAAATATAACTATGCAAATCCAACCGGTAGATATGTAAATCATATCGCGATGAAAATATCTACCGGTTGGATTTGCAAAATAATGTTTTTTGGAGCGTCCAGCAGTGAAAAGCTGTTTCATTTCGCCAAACAAGACAGTCTTTCATCGTTTGCGGCACCAAAAAACATTATTTCGCAAATCCAACCGGTAGATAAGTAAATCATATCGCGATGAAAATATCTACCGGTTGGATTTGCAAAATAATGTTTTTTGGAGCGTCCAGCAGTGAAAAACTGTTTCATTTCGCCAAACAAGACAGTCTTTCATCGTTTGCGGCACCAAAAAAACATTATTTCGCAAATCCAACCGGTAGATATGCTCATCGTAATACGAGTTGCATATCTACCGGTTGAATTTGCGTAGCTATGTTTCAATTACATTATATCGTTGCGTGTGTCTTCTGTCTACGCATGCTATGAAATGTCAACCCCCGATGTGGATTAAAATGAGATGTCTACACCCGATGTGAAACGTTTAGGCTTGTCAGCCCCCGATGTGGATTAAAATCAAATGTCGGCCCCCGATGTGGATTAAAATGGGATGTCTGCCCCGATGTGGATTAAAATCAAATGTCGGCCCCCGATGTGGAAAATGAAGTGTCCGCCTGATGTGGATTAAAATGAGATGTCGGCCCCCGATGTGGATTAAAATGAGAGATGTCGGCCCCCGATGTAGACTTATCCCTTATTCAAAATACACCAAATATTTGTCTATGATGTCTTCTAGGCAAGAGATTTCGATCATTTCACAGTGCTAAGGCTATTATATTGCTGATACATTGGAATCTATATCTTCAATCCACAATTATTTGCGGCACTTGTAGGTTTTAATTCCCTCGATAGCGAGGTAACGTTGACGGCAATGTTGACGCTCTATCGGAGAACATAAATGGCAGAGCTTTATTGGTCAAGGCAATTGCATCGCACGCAATATAGGTCGATTTCCTCTTCTCGTTGATGCCGCGGAATAATAAGCGCCCAAGTGACGTCGATTGGAATGACCAGTGTCCTTGGGGTAACCCATTCGTTCCCTATTGGGCTCTGGTCGGGATAAAGTGCCGGTTCTTGAAGGTCAAAAAACATGTATTTCCGAATTCTCCAGGTGTAGCGCCACCAAACGATCGGTAAGTCCTGTCGGTGTCCCGTATGTCTGTCCTCGTAGGTGTTAAAGAACTTACATATCATCCAGCTGTCTACATTGCATTGAGGACATCGCTGGTGGACCATTCCATGTGTATTGATAGCGTCTGCACTGGCTTCATCACGATCTTCATCGGGTGTCCCATAAACTCCGAATCGTAGAATTGAAGGCATAACGTGGCCACGATATTACAGGCTTTTATACCTGTAGATAACAATGCTTGCAAGGTGATTAGCAGTTGAAGCGAGCGTCGCCCATAGCAAAAGTCGAAAATATATATTGTGAGGATAAATGTGGAGCTATAATACCTGCAGATGGCAATGCTTTCAAGGTAAGTAGCAGATGTTTGAAGGTATGGTTGAAGGTGCGTATGTTAGAAGAAACAAGGGGAAATGAATCTTCAAGGGTCGGGCAAGAGCTTTTGTACCTGGTCGTGAGTGGACCGCGGGTCGTGCAAGAGTAGTGTACTTTTGGTCCAATCAAATTCGTATATCTCGCACATGCGGGATCACTTAGTCGCCGATTCCCGTATGCAAATATGGGTACATCCATGTGAAATTTAGGTCAGCATGCACGGTACACGTTTATGGATGTGCATATTCGGATGCTTCAATTCCCAGAGAAGCAAGTTGCAACTGAGATGGGTACTAGCATATGATACACAAATCTATATCATCATACAAATTTAATCTATATACACCAAATAATTGTCTAGGATGTCTAGGAGCACATAAATAAGGGTAAGTGTTGGTGTATTAAGCTAGCAGAATGATACATTAGTGTAAGTATCTAATGTG